CTTTTCTGATGAAGGGTCTAGGCCCGAAACGTCAGCCTCTCTGCTCCTATGATGCTGCTTGGCCTGCTGTGTTCATCCAGCCCTGCACCTTGTTGTCTCGGATTCTCCAGCATCTGCAGTTCCTACTATCTCTGATGACCTAAAGCAGTTTTTCAGCCAAGGAACTATATTTGCAGTGCAGTCACTGTCAATGTAGGAAACCCAGAATCACTCAGAATAAAGTTAGTAAAGTTGGTTGCGGGCTAAATATTGGCCAGGACACTGGGAGAGCTCCCAATTCTTCATTGACAAGTGAAATGGAATTTGATGTGGCCTCTTGAGATATATCTAATGTTTCATTCAAGAGGAGGTAAAATACAGTTCCTTTGAGTGAGTTCTGGATCTTGTTGACTCAATAGCCAATAGTCTTATAACAGCAATGAATTAAAAGATGAACCAGAAGCAAGTAAGCCAATCTCTTTGTTCATTTCTTACTTGCTTGACTATGAGTAATGTTATGGCAACTCTTGGCTCCACTTCCAAAGGTACTGATTCCTTTGGATTAAGGAAACTTTAGTAAGTGTGCTTTAATAGAATATCTAAACATTGTTACTTACCAGACTGAAGCTTACCTTCAGAATTGGAGCCAGAAATACAGATATTCCTGTCAGGATGAACACAACAATACCAGTAACCCTTTGCTCCCTGGAAAAGGAAAATGAATGTTTAAATGTTAAATGCACAATAAATCTGGAAGGATTGCCATCCATATGTATTTTTTATTAAAAGACAATCTTCTCTTTAACAGTTTTCCTCCCCACCTCTCTCTCTGTCAAGGCATTGATTCCTTTCGTGTCCACAGTTCTACAGTGGCAGATTGTCCTTCTCGATTTTGTCCAAACAACCATTATTTCTGTGAATGTGGACTGAGTATTTGATTGAGGGGAATACTATAACAGAATACAATTTTGTCTACAAATGGGATCATTGCAAAGTTATCAGAACCTACAGCTCCCCCATCCCCCACCCAACCAAACTGCCTCACGACACTGAGACTTAACTGTCGAGTCCTGCTGCTGTTTTGATAGGCATCAGCCAACTCTGCATTGGAAATGGGACTTGCCAACTCCACAATTAAAATCGGGCTTTCCAACTCCCAACAGCTCAACACTGAAATCACTTCATGTAAATGAATCAGGTGTAAAACCAAGACATGTTACAGAAGTGAAGGCATCCCTTTGACTGAACCCAGCTTTTTGGAACAGCTATCCATCTTGTCCCTTTCCCTGCAGACAGTGCACTTCAGATGCCCTAAACATCTGAGAGAAGAACGGTGAAATACCAATATCATCTGCAGCAACGACTTCCCAGAAAATAAAGGCCTGAAAACTCTTGGTTGGTTGGTACATAGGACAATTTCTTCTAGATTTTAACTGATCATGCACTACTGGAATGAATGAAAATGAATGAAATAATTTACATGAGTAGAGTTGTCAGAACTGAAGGTTATGACACGTATATAGAAGTAAAGTCCCTTCAATAAATCCAAACCAAACCTGTGCAATGGCATCATTCAGCACCAACTTAGATATTGGCTAGTTTCTACCTTATGCACTGTCTTCCTATCATAAGCCCTTTAGCCTGAACGGGTTTCTTGTAATATCCTTGAAAAGAACCACAAGCAATGCATCAAAAAGCTGTTAAGGGAATGTTGCCATCAGGGGAAATAATTCTCTGGAGGTTAATTGTCCAAGTGTTTCACAGATTTTTGCTCAATGAAGATTGCTGATGTGAACTGTTAAAGCTAACTAGTGTTTCTGGTATTTCTGTCTTGTGTTAAGCTGTACATTTAACTGAACAATGAGCGTTAGAGTTCGGGATTTTAACAACTTCTCCCATTCACAGCCATTCAAAATTTAGTCCATGTATTTTATTAAGTCTGATCTTCTTCCTTCGCCATTATGCAATGGCCAGTTTGTCCAGGTTTACAAATACCCTTTAATTATGGTGCATTATTCACCAAAGAGTATGTGGGTAATTAGCACATTCATCTATCACCTCAGAATGCTGAAATTATCAATCTGCTAGACCAATACGTACAACACCAATATGCATAGTTTAGAGTTTATTATCTGCTTTAAGAATTTGCAGCAGTAAAGGCACAGAAAATTATTAAAATGGTTCAGATACAAAAGTTGCAAAAAATGTGGAAGCGGAGAGGCTGCAGATGTCAGATGTCTGAAACAAGCAGAAATGCCAGGAACGCAAAGCAGGAGAATCATCACTTTTTAGCAAGACACCTGAAGAAGTGCTCCTGTTAGAAGATATCAGGAAACACGTAATTGCGATAGTAACAAGTGGGATTGCAATAATGAAATGGTTTTTAGCGCAGCAGCGATCCCTCGGGCTAGTCTGTCAGTAAGAATTGCCAGCAGTAGGCATTGAACTGAAAGTTCATTCTTTCTCTTGGATATTTTAATGCATGAATTCCTACAAATATTTACTGCATATAAAGTGTTTTGAATTTAATACACTGAGTGAGACTGAATATTTGTAAGACTTTTGAGTTAGATCAAACAGCACTTTGTAGTCAAAACACCTAACTCTTAAAATTCGATGGAAATCAGCCTCTGATCTGTCCAAACTTGGCACGAAACTTTTAACTGCATTTAAAAGAAAACAATAAAGTCAGCAGTTCTGTGCTTACATACCTGACGCCAAGAAACTGTGGTTGCTCTCCTGGTGCGCTGGTTTCCGTTTCCATTTTTAAACCATCAATGTGAGCGATAGATATAACAGTTGCTGCCACATACCATGGCAGACCCGTAAAAGAACAAATCGCCAGTAAAAGACCAACCCAGAACAGATCCAAATGGTAACCAGCTCCTTTCTGCAGCAGAGATAGAGAAATAGTTTAGTTAAGTCAAATTTGTACCCAGTTGTCTGCAAGTTTCATTCAAGATTTAAACTGAATCACTTGTCAAATATTACTTTATGTAAACAAAAACTTGAGATATTTCCTATTTACTTGTATGAATTTTATGCCGTCTATCATTCAGAGAACTTTATGACTGGAACATACTTGACTTCAAATATTTCACATGAAAGTATTTGATGTGAAAATTATTCTTCCATACTGGTCATGATTTGAAAGCAGAAAGTTGTGCATGCCCCATCCTAACTCCATTCCATTCAATGAATTTTGAGGGAATTTTAAACGAAATATCTGCTCCCACAAGGTGTCATACTTTCTCTTTTATTGCCATATAAAGATGAGATGGTGTTATAAATCTTTAGGAATGTGTGATTATTCGAGTCAATTTTAATTCGTTGTTGAACAAGAGACCTAATACCATGTATCAGTCCTACATGAAAAGCCTGCTCCAAAGCAGTCGAGAGTGTCAAGTTCCTAAGGGTGAAATCACCAACAATCTGCCCTGGTCCATCCACATCGATGCCACAAGGAAGCACACCAATGCCTCTACTTGGTCAGAAGTCTAAGGAAATTCAGGATATCCACTGTGAGTGTCTGTTAGCAATTCGTATAGATGCACCATAGAAAGCATCCAATCCAGATGCATCACAGCTTGGTATGGCAACTGCTTTGCCCAAGACCACAGGAAATTACAGAGAGTTGTGAACGCAGCCCAGTCCATCCTGAAGGCCAGCTTCCTTCCATTGACTCCATCTACGCTTCCCGTTGCCTCAGCAAAGCAGCCAACAAAATCAAAAACCCCTCCCACCCCAGTTATACTCTCTCCCACCCTCTTCCATCAGGTAGAATATTTAAAAATTAGAACCAACAGATTAATGAACAGTATCTTCTTACTGTTATCAGACTTATGAATGGATCTCTCAAGTATTAGAGTTGATCTTTCGCTGCACCTTCTCTGTAGCTGTAACACTATAATCTGTATTCTGCTCTGATGTACTTACGTGAAGTATGATTTGTCTGGATAGCACGCAAAGCAATAATAAATAAATTAAATCAATTAGTCCCAGAACCCCTCCAAAACATATGCAAATTGCTGTTGCTGAGTTAGGAAACTAAAAACAAAAGCAAAATACTGAAGATGCTGGTGATCTGAAGTAAAAAAAATTAGAAAATGCTGGAAAAACTCAGCAGGTCAGGCACCATCAGAGTGAACATTTTGAGTCTCATATATGTCTAAACAAGAATCATATTGGACTTTAAACATTAACTTTATTTCTTTCTCCACTGATGCTGCCTCACCTACTGAGTATCTCCAGCATTTTCTGTTTTTATTGCAGAAATGAAATCTTGTTTCCTTGTGATATCACGGGTACAGGTAGGAGCTGGAAACAATGACCTTACGAACAACAGATGCTCAAAGCAAGTATTCAAGTTGCCATGGAGAACATTGACAGCCTGATGGCACAGGGCATGTAGGCCACTGTTGGATCCCAGGTGGATGTCGGTAGCTTGTGATTGTTGGCAGTCTAATTTGAATGGGTTAGAAGTTACAGAGGCAACTTTAATTACAACATTGGGAAGTGGAAGGTCTGAGAATCGTACAGGGGTGAGTGGTGAGTGAGTAGGAGGCTGGATAAGGAATAGAAATAGCTGACAGCCATTCTCCATTGATAGAGCTACATCAAGGCACTTGCTGTATCAGTTATGAAAATTTCAGAGTTGATGAAAGGCGAAATGCTGACAAGCTGACTTACAGAAACAGCATTTCCATGTATTGATTATAAACTTTAAATTGCCATCAACGTCAGCCTTGTTGTAACACTGCAAACCTTCCTGATTCCCGAAGGAATGTTGAGAAGGTCCCAAATAGTTGCATTCCATGCACTGAACCAACTATTGCTGTGTAACCAAAGCATTTGTATCTAGCCTGCTTGGCACTTCAATTAATCACCTACCTTCAATTTGTGCTCCTTCCTGTTCACAATTACCCCTGTGATTTGTTGGTCCATGAAGATCAATATAGTTACTAGGAGAGCAGGTAAAGCACTGGCAAGATAGATCCACCAGGGATTTTTACCAAAGGGAAGAACAAACCAGCCTCGATCTGAACGGGTTGGCTATGAGGAGAAGTTTAAAAGAGTGGATATTTGGTTAGTTTGTGTGTTTTTCGTATGTAATCACAAATTATAAAATTAATTTGCCTCAGACTGAAGTTTGAAAGATCATACACATAACTAAACTCACAAAAGCCTCTTGAAATACTGAGACTATTGGAACACTGAGATTTTTTCAACAGTTAGCATGAGGATTTTACTGCACATCTTTGTGTTTAAATAGAGGCTCCAAGCCAATTTTTCATAGAACCTTGTTAATGCCTGGTTAATTACATTGTTAAGTTTGTTGAATGTCTTCATTCAAAGTTAAGAAAAAACAGGTGGTATCTAAATTGCCGGAGCACATATATAAAAGGAGCACTGTTGTGAGTGAGAAGGGCAAGACTGAGGAAGTTTGCAAACACTGCTCTCAAATTAAAATAGCTATGTGGCTTGATTTTAATCTCTCCAGCTGGCTTTGAACTTAGTACCAATTTTTAAACTTGTTAAACTTCTATTTTCTTTAGCTGTGCAATATTCAGGCTAAAAAAAGGTCCAACTTAGATTATCTAATTCTTACTATTTGATATATCTTGTTTTCCATTTTTATTGAATTCATCACTGTTCTCTTGGAATTTTGTGCCTTCACCATGGTACCTCAAAAAAGACAAATGAAGGCACAACGATTTCCTCTCAGAATGAAATAATTCTCCAGTTAAAATGTTAAAACATAATACGCCTCCTTTTAAGATAGAAAATTACTTTCTGTGGAAGATTTAGAGGTCAAATTGTTTTCAAAATAAATTGATTTTGAATATGTGAGGTAATGGAACGTATGCACTTAACGATATCTAGCTTGAACTTTGTGAAGATGCCTTCGGGTTAGATGCAGAATATAGTTGACTTATCTGCATGAAACACAATCTCTCCAAAAGGGCCGATGTAACCAGTTTCCAATTCATATTTTTAGTATCAAGCATTCTAAAAGCCAGTAAAATTGTGTTGAATTTATGAGCAACATTCTGCTCTGCTGCCAAGAAGTAGATCTAGATGAATTCAATTGATATGGAATCTTTATGTCTTACATTGAGTGGTCATCAATCTCACCACTGATGGAACCTGGGTACTAAAGGACAGTTCCATAAACCATAAAACCATTTCCCATTTATTTGATTTATTCTACTGATTAACAAAAAAAGCCCTTGAGATTTACCTTTAGCTCAGTAGGCACTTGAAGTTTTGGTGTGTTCAGTCCAAAAAGAACATCAATCCCAACAAAAATCAGAATAGACGTGAAGATAGAAAAGTCACTGATAAGTTTCCGGAGCTAAGATAGATCAACAGAACAGATGGCAAAAACATCCAGACGGAGATACCACATACAAAGAGAATAAGCGTCAAAGAATAAGAGAGTGAGGAAATATTGAAATAAGTATTTTTAACATTGATTTGAGGAAAGAAGTTACACTTCATCCCAAATAATGTTCCTCAACTAGATCTTCCCTAGATACACCAAGCTCTGAAAACTATGATGTTGAGTGTGCTGATAAAACAGATCTTAAGGTCTTAAGTCAGTTGGCTTCTCCTGGGCAGCTCTGACTGTGCATCCCATTGGTTTAACCAACTATCAGGCTGAGATGAAGCAGTTGGTGACTTGAACAGGGACGTCAGTGAAATCCAGATTGCCACTGTTGGCAGAACAAGAAAGGATTTTTACCAGTTTAAATTGGGATCACGAGGAATGTGTTATATTTTGGCACATTTCAAGTGAACAAAAGACCTGCCATAAATAAAAACAGGAAGTGCTGGAGAAACTCAACAGCCCTGGCAGCATCTGGGAAGAGAGGAAGGGAGGTCACATTTCAAGTCCGATAAGACTCTTCTTCAGAACTGGAATGGGCTGGAAAATGGTGGTTTTTATGCTGTAGTCAGACACCTGCTTTTTCAGGTCTCTGTATCCTGCAATGAGCTGCTTAGTTGATAATACATGAAAAAAAATATTTTGACAAAATAAAGCAAACAAGAAAATGTAGCATCAAGATTGGTCATCATACTTTACCAACTACTATCTCTTTGACAAGAGATCCTTGGTCTATTTATGGAATATGATAAAGTCACTGGCTTTCTGTTGGAGGATTAAGCTGTGCAGTAAGCCATGAGGAAGAAGAGAAGTTACTTGATGAAGAGTTGAATGTTTCTTGGTTTGGCTGTCATGACTCTGAAACTAATGTAAGTCAGCAAACCTAATTAGAAATAATATTTACTTCAATGTTATGCTACCACACTTAGGAGCACTTCAGGTTCAAAAACAGTAGGAAGATGCCTTCTAAAGTATGCATTGCAACAGGAAAATAACTAGAGATATTAAATGGCCAAGTTCTGTTCAAACCTTGATTTCACTGGGGATATGCAGTTTGGGTGTATCCAGTCCGGCTGCAGCATCAATTCCACAGAAAACAAGAATGGAGATTACTGTAGAAAAGTCTGTGATCAGGCTTCGGATCTAATGGAAAATAAAGGGATAAGTGGACATGGGAGAAAGAGTCATGCAAGGAAGGAGAAATACATATTTAGGGTTAAGGTCACAAACACAGGTACAGCATTGAGGCGAGACTATCTTATCTGCAGCTCTAGCTTCAACTGCAAGGGGAATTAGTGAGGAGCAGAGCAACTACACAGCCAAACTCTACATGGGAATTGTGAAATTCCTGGTTTTTTGCTGAAACTTTTAAAATGATAGTCCATTGATTTGTCAATTCTTTGCATTCCACTTCATATGCCATTGCTCACATGACCTACATTCTTCTTCTTTATATTTCCACAGAGCTCACAGATCAGTTGGGAATTATGTTTGGGATCATGGATTACTTCAACATTTGAAATTTATGCTGTATTTGTTTAATTTGTTTCAGAGGAAGACATTGCAGTTGTTTTAACTGCTTCGTCAGTATTTAGCGTGAGAACGGCAAGTTTTCTTTTTGTAAGTGCTATTGTGAAAAGGGCTGGAGGAAGCTGCACTCTGAATTTCAACATTATTTGTTTGAAGAAATGCATCTTCTCTAAATGATTGGGAGAATAAAATTGTAACGACCACTATTCGAGCATGGACAACAAACATGTTTGAAGCAAATTCAACAACATCTAACAAATCTGATTCAGTAGCTCTCGGCAAGATTCTTTGCAGCCTGTGGAATAATTCTGTTGCACTGCTTCTGCTTGCAGATCATCTGCAAGGTTTCAACCCATAAGTGTTTCAGGAGAGCACTTACCTTGGTTGGAAAGTAGCGACTAAACTTGAATTTCTTGAGGGTCACAGTCAGGGAGTATGTGCCAAAAAAGAGGATAAAAGACATTAGGGCTAGATCTGGAACATACTTGCAGGATTTTCCAACCAGGCTCCCCCCGTATGTGAGGCATTCCTTCTTGCTGAGTTGACTCCAGTCCAGTGCTGTTGTATTGACAATATTATACTTGGGAAATAAAGAAGGAAATTAAAATTCTGTAAGTAGTCTTTACCTAATAATGCATGATCTGGTTGTACAAAGACTCAAATTCTTGTTGCTTTAAACAGACGTGCTACAAGCTGTAATCAAGCAAGCAGTGCAGCCTCCCTGATGATACAACGCTTGTAAATTATGTAAAAGGTGGACTTTACAGAAAAAGGCTATACCATGACCTCGGTGCTTCAAGCAGATAAAACAGGAAGATACAGTCAAGTGGGGAGGCTATATTAAGTATTCGGATTTCATCACCCTGAGCCATGTCCCTGTCGAGGTCATAACTCAACATGATCATCCACAATAAGCTTATGGATGACAAGGGTTTTAGACATTTTAAACATAAAAGGTGCCATGACAAGGCAATGTTGATTAAGGGCACTTGTACCTGGCAATAAAAATTCAGCTGTGCTAGCATCAAATTTCACTCAGGCAGCAAGAGAACTGAGGCAAATGGTCTACCTCTTGCCTTTGGCAATGAGGTACGTAAGTGTTATCTCTTACTGGGTGTCATAGTTTTTACACATTCATTGTCAGAATGTGGGTGGCATGACCAAGGCCAATATTTATTTCTCATTCTTAGTTCCAACCCAGAAGGTGATAGTGAGCTGCCTTGAATGTGCTTTTGTACTGCTATTATTTAGGGCTTAGGATGCCAAACCAATGCCAATTATTGTCATTTCCAAGACAATGATAAGGCTAAATTATACATATCAAAGTTGGCATGGTGGGTGGAAGGGATGGTGTTTACATATGTCTGCTGCCCTGACCTTTCTAGGCCTAGAGTTTGAGAATTGATTTTAAATTTAGAAGTTATGCAGTTAGGATGCTGGAAATTTTCACCCAGTTGCCAGAAATGACAAGAAAATTTGTGTTCTAAATATCATTTCTGGTTCCCATGTTTTCTAGTGTTGTGCAAAACCATGACCCAATATTCCTGCCAGCTGCTGATGGAGATTGAAGAAAACAACACTGTTTGAACTATAACAGTCAAATTATGGAGACTGAAACTTACCAAAGAAATGTTAGTGTTATTCAGAGCCAGTGAATCTGAAGCATTGAACAGAGTTGTATTCACTGTGAGGCAATAAAATAGCATGTTTAGTATTGTTATCAAAATCTCAGCTTTACAGGCTCTCTTTAGCTGTTGGCACTTCCATCCCTATTCCCTGCTCTGGTGTTTTAATAAATCATCCCAGCCAATAACATGAACAACCAGCCTTCAACAAAACTCTGAATCTTGCAAAATCCTCTGAAAGTTTTAGTCCTTCATCTAATTGATCTGGAAACAGTGGTGAACAGACACATTACCTCGAACTGAAGTTGAACATCCTATAAAGCTTAAATAATTAAGAATCTCATATTTAATACAATGTATTGGATTTTCTTTAATATATATGTTAGTTAAAAGGACCATTCTCCATAAAAATGAAATATATTCCCCATCGGTTGCAATAAGCAGTCAAACATTTGAAAAGCCTTGGATCTTAAGTACACAATGTTTTTTGTCAAGTGGCAGTATGAATCAATTTGATTCATATCATTTGCAATGTAAACAAAAGTTTGTCCATTGATCGGCACAAACTGTTCATTCACTAATGGTTTCTGTGCAGATCATTCTCCCAATGTGTCGCTGTTCAATTAATAAATCATACATTTACAATTGCTATTCATTATAGAGACAAACATTTGCCCCAGAGAACCCAAACCAAAGGGCTAGCTTGGACTTGAAGGACATATTTGTTATGTAAACATCCAATGTAGTACCATCCTTCTTTTGAAATTCCTATATTCAACTGAATTATAATGAGGGCATTCCACTTAATTTATCCCACAAAATGCCTGCAGGAAAGGAAAGCTGTAGCAACTATTCAGTTCTTTTCACATTTAAAATAGTTTCCAACGTATGAAACTCCATCTGATTTAATTTTAATTTAATGAGACGACTTGTCTCTCATTATAAAGTAAGCCACTTGGGTCATCTGACTGTGTGAAAGTCACAATAAAGGAATCCCAATACACATCCATGAAGATGTCATCTGGAGTCCAAGGGTTAGATTATGAAGAGAAATCACTCAGCTTGAATGTATTGGGGGTGAGCGGATAGACGATTTCAGAATTTTTATTGGAATTGATTGCGTTGACAGATATAAACTTTATTTCTGCTGGTGGGACAGTCTTGGATAAGAGGACATCACCTTAAAATAAGACCTGGACCATTTTGGAGGGAAGTTAAGATGGAACAAAAAAAATCCTTTTACTTCTGCAAGTGTTTCAACCTATGTTTAAGATGAGCATCTGAAAACTTCACACTATTAAAGTGGAGAGTCAGAGCATACTCTGTGCAAACCTTTTTTGGCTTTCCCACCACTTTCCACATTGTGGATAGGAAAACCTGAGAGTTTTCTTTTTGCATTTTATGTAATAGAAATACGGGGAGTAGGCGAAATAAAGAATAGCCTCTTCACTCAAAGGGTTGCAGAAGTGTGGAACTATCTCATTTAAAACCCAGTGGGTAGAAGCTCAGTTGATAATTTAAAATCTGGAATTGATAACATTTTGATATCCAGGAATGTTAAAGGATATGCAGTTAAGGTCGACAAATGAAGTTAGGACCCATGTTGGCTATCATCTCACTGAAATGTGGAACAGGCTTGAGGGTGTTTCACAACCTCCTCCTTTTCCTCAGATAATCTAAACAGCAGTGCTCCTAAAGAAGAGAGATCCACGTTTTCCCTCAAGGAAATGTCGACATTTAATTTTGGCCTGGTGCTTTTATGGTTCAGAACAAGCAGACTTCCAAACTGCTAACAATAAATGATGAGAAGGATCAGGATGAGAGATTGACCAACAATTGTTTGAATGCAGAATTTCTAATGCTTCAGTCTCTGTTTCTAATACTTGTACCAGACAGCAGCTACTACATAACATCTTCAAAGTAAATTTAAGTGTGATTAGTTTCAATTCCACATCCAGTCAAAGTCATCAGGTATAGAAAGGGGAAGAGGAAAGATAAGAATGACAGGATTTGAAAGAGTTTCCTTTCAGAAACTTACCCAAGATTGAAAGTGGCCAACCAGAGTTTGCAGCATATATAAAAATAATAAATAATCAGTTACAAAACCAAAATTAACAGTAGTTGACAACAGGCACCCATTCAAAGAATTATACATTTAAAGATGAATATTCCCTGTAACCAACATTAGTTGTCTTTATAACACAAAAATCAATTTTGGGCCTAAGCAGCCCTGTGTTTCTTGGCGACTGGCACAGTCACATCCACCTTCTAACTTGCCATGATGAATTTCAGAGAACTGTCAAAGGTAACAGTATGCCAGCGACTGTGTGAAAGACACAAACATCACTTCTGGCTGTGGGCATAATGTGGCATTAATTGAAGGTGCATGAGCTGCAGATGCAGAAACTCCAGCTGGATAGCAGTACAGTTTCTTCCTGAGCAGCTTTCAAGGACCTCTGACTTCAAGTGGTAATAGTGGGAATTCTACAAGCATGAAAACACTTTAGGCTCAAGAACCCTGCCCACCCTTTGTCAATTGGGCAGGTGGATGGTTAAAATAATGGTTATACACTTGTTCAGTCAAGAGAACCAATGGATGTCTCTAACCTTAGTGGATGTAAACTAGTTTGAAAAATTGCTGACAGGAACAGAAACAGGGGAAACGTAGAATTGTATGAAATTGTAAAGAAGGATATAAACTAGTTTTGGTGTGAAGAGATTGCTACTCATTTATTTTCTTTCTCATCCCTCTCAAGTGAATTGATGCCTGACTCACCTGAATCTGGAGCCGCACATTCACACTTGTACATGGTCACATAGTCTGGATTGTAGCCAGAATTGATGGGGTAGTATTTGAAGGCCCCAATCATTTTTTTGATGGCGTCATAGATGAAGATGAGGCTGATAAGCATGGAGAAGCCTTCCTCTGTAAAACGTGTGATGTACTTAATGATGAAACTGGCATCCGTGGCAACTAGAAGAAGGCATTGAAGGGCAGAATGGAGACCAATCCAGAGCCGGAATTCAAGGTAGTCCAAATCATTACTTCTGTAAGAGATACGTGTCCTTTAGAGTGAATATTGAAATGTTGATCATTAAATGTTGAGGGTGCTTCTGGAAGACCAGCTTTGTTTTTGTTTGGTGAAGGAGTTACAAATAAATTATTTGTAGTGACATTGGTGGAAACCAAAATTCCATTTCCAGTATGAAGCCGGTACCAGAGCACATGTCTTTGAAGCAACAGTACTAGATTATCATTGAGGCCCAGTGTCAGTTAGGATGCCACCTGCCTGCATGTTAGCTTGCGGACCCTAAGGGTTTTCTCAAGTTGCCATACATGCAAGTTCAGGGCAACCAAAATGAACTCATCTGCATTGCCCCATTTTCTATGAAATGCTTTCAACCAGACAAACTGAATTTGAATGATTTCCTGAAGGTGGACTCCAAAACATCCTTTATTTTCAAACACAAGTCATAGACAAGTACTTTCTTTAGCAGTGAGCTGATTGCAGGGGTGAACTTATGCTCAAAGAGTTAGCCAACCAGCCCAAATACAGGGGACCCCAGACAGATGATATGGGTACAGTAATCCATTGGGGGACCTAGTTAATCAATCAGACCAAAGATTCATTAATGACTAATGCAGACTCTGAACCCAGGAATTGTCAGTTGGAACAGTGAATTTAATGCCAAATCAGGTACCAAAAGCAAAATTAAGCAGGGTATAAAAAGAGAAAGCATAGAGTCATAGAGTCATAGAGCTGTACAACATGGAAACGGACTTTTTGGTCCAACCTTTTGTTGACCGTATACCCTAAATTAATCCAGTCCCATTTGCCAGCATATGGCTAATATACCTCTAAACTGTTCCTATTCATATACCCATCCAAGTGCCTTTTTAATGTTGTAATTGTACCAGCCTCCACCACTTGCTCTGGCAGCTCATTCCACGCATGCACCACCCTCTGGGTTAAGAAAATGTTGACCTTTGGGTCCCTTTTAAATCTTTCCCCTCTCGTCTTAAACCAATGCCCTCTTGTTCTGGATTCCCCCACCCTGTGGAAAAAGACCTTGGCTATTCATCCTATCCATGCCCCTTATGATTTTATAAACTTCTATAAGGTCACCCCTCAGCCTCAGATCAGGTGTGCGGGTTAAGTGGGTCAGTAAAAATCCCATGCGGGGCTATGGGGCAGTGGTTGGGTCTGGGTGGAGTGCTCTTTGGAGTGTCAGAGCAGACTCAATGGGTCAAATGGCCTCTTTCAGCACAGTGGGGATTCTAAATACGGGGTCAATTGAAAACTTACTCAGGGTTTAGACGATGTATTCAATAGCCTAACTTTTCCTGAGTAACTATTTTACTTAATTGCTTCAGAACACTCCAATTCTCTGATTTAAATAAAGACTTTCAAATGGTTGTTGACGCAGAGGAATTTTATGAGGAAAATTTGAAATCCTGGGCAATTCCTTTCGAGTTTGCTACGATGAGGATTCTGCAGGGTTCCTGTGCGCTCCTCCCATCTCAGCTGGAATAACCAATGTCTGGCTCGTAGAAAATCAGGCCCATTATTTTTGCAACAAAATCAGGCCTAGAATGTAGAACTGTTCCCCTGCAGCAAAGACAATGTTCTTAGAGTTGCAAAGCAACATTGTAAATAGATAGATGCACATTTTTTTTTCCCTCAAGGTTGCTTAATGGAACAGTTTAAAATTATAACCATTTCATTAAAATAACCTTTCAAGAACAGATTAAAACTATAACCACTGCATTGAAATTACATTCGACGGAGAAGGACTCCTCAATAAATCCCCAGCCCATCAGTTTGATTACAAACTCCAAATATGCAACATATTTCTAATGTTTACGTAAAAAATGTAGTCCTCCCTCAGAATTGTGATCCTGTTAAAACAATCTTATATTCTATGATACAATATACTGACTTAACACCCTTCCAACTTCCTTTGGCAAAGAGGCAATTAGAAAGACATACTTTCCCTTCATGTAAGAAACAAAATTTAAGAAACCAAAGCACTCACTTGCTGAAGTCAAACAGAAGTTTTTCAAAGATGAGGATTGGACCTGTACTACTAAGGATAGTGAGAGGCTGTCCACCGAATAAGCAGAATACAGCACCTGTGAACGCAGTGCCTAGAAAACTTTCAATTACACCCTGTTTGCAGAAACAAAACAGCCTGTTAGATTTAAGTAAAAAGCACTAAGCTACATTGAATTTGATGTAACAAGAGAATTATTGACTTGTTGCCAAATTTGAAACTAATCTGACTCAACACACTTTCTGTATCAGTGTTCCATTGTCCACTGTGACATTTGGTTACATTTACGTTTCTGCTGGTCATACTGTACAAAGTAAAAAGGAATGATACATTTATACACAAGGTCATGAGATAGTATCAGTGAAGAAAATCATTTGGCCTATGTTTATCATCCTTCCAGAAGAAATATCCAGCCATCCATAGGATGCATCTATTTTCTCAATGATTCTAGTTTCCTATCCAGAACTCTATTTCACTCGAAAATAAGTCTCTGCCAAAGATCTATTTCCTGATATGGTCTGAAATTTATTTCGCACTAGTTTGAGCTTGTGTAGTTGTCCATTTGACATGATTTAACATGATGTAATATGTAATTTATCCCTGTGAACATTATTTTGCATTTATTTGCCACTGAAGGTCACTTGCAGTTCATTACTTTTGGACTCATCAGTCCAGTGAGTTGTCTCAAAGCAAAATACTGTGCAGTATATTTCCTCTGACTTAGTGGTATTTTAGCTAAATATGTCTGCATTCTTTTTGCTTTTTGCGTTGTCTCTTTAGATTCAATCATCGTAGGCAACATGACTGCTAAAACACTTGGTTATTTCAACTTTGTTTGCAGAGTTCTTATGAAACATAGAATGATATAACACAGAAGAGACCATTTGGCCTATCATGTCCGTGCTGGCCCTTTGAAAAGAACTAACCAATTAGGATCAATGTCCCTGTACTTTTCCCGCAGCTGTACAATTGTTTCCTTTTCAAGTATATTTCTAATTTCCTTTTGACTTCCACTGTCTTTCCAGAGACTGCATTCCATGTCATAACCAGTTACTGCACTCATTTGTGGGATGTAAGCATTGCGAGCAAGCTCAGCACTTAAGAAGTTTCCAATCAATGACAGTTTCACTTCTTATGTAAGGGACATCCCTCAGGAACACAAATGGCAGAACTTCGTTTGAAATTGACATATTGAAATGCTTTCCGCCCTCATCTCAAGACTCAATATAGTTAGGGTATTGATGTCCTAAAATCAGAGGGAGTATTACTATAGTTACCATGTGAGCTGCAGCACCCAGTTAAAAAACTGTCGACGTTATTATAAGTTATTCATAACACACATAGTTGCATATGGGTGATTTGGCTGTCATACAGACCATTCCTTACAAACTTTTAAATCAGTTAGCAGAAGTGGAAACTCAATTAAAGGTTTTCTTAGTTAACACAGTGTGGAGCTGAAGGAACGTAGCAGGTCAAGCAGCATCAGAGGAGTAGGAAAGTCAATGTTTCGGGTTGGGACTCTTCTTCAGAACTTCTGAAGAAGGGTCCCAAACCGAAACATTGACTTTCCAACTCCTCTGACGCTGCCTGACCTGCTGTGTTCCTTCAGCTCCACACTGTGTTGACTCTGACTCCAGCATCTGCAGTTCTTGCTATCTTAAAGCTTTCCTTACTCCATATTTCATTTTCATGCAGGTAGTGTGTGAAAAAACAGAAGGCACAATTAATGTAACAACAGCTGGTTACCTTGGCAGCTGGTGACAGATGCTCTATTTGCCAAGAGAATATTAAAAATAATAATCTTGGCCACATGCGCTTCTCTAATATTTGTGAGACAAGGCAAATTCCACAGTGTCAAACATAATCTGATATTAGTTCATCACAAACATAATTCTGATCCAGATCCCTTTCACCTCATAGTGGTGTGTCAAGCAGACCATCAGCCATCTTGGATGCATCCTCTTGCACATAAGCTGCTGAGAAAAGAATCTTCATTTCAAGTCTATGAGTTCAGTGAATGGAAACAGATGCTGATTGCAGAAAAGAAAATGTTTCCCCTTTCAGGAGACAATGGTCTTTCATGAATGATAACTAAAGTTATACTCTTATAAGAGTTCTCAAAATTCAGATGCATTTTGAAACATGGTAAATTTCATAGAAAATCAGCCTCTGTCTTGCTCTTCAACTTTAAAGATATCTTAGGCCCTGGTGTTGGTCACCTCACATCATCTATTAATGTGCATTTGGGTGTGTCAGGATCCAGTGATTGGATGTGTCAATTTGGTGTAGTTCTCACCTGATAATTGTCTGTTGCATCCCCCAACAATCCTCCAAAGGTGATGGCATTGGTGATACAGCCCAAGTAGATGAAGAGAATGGTGGAAACAGACTGAATGTGGAATGCTTCATAGAAATCACTGGGCAACCAGGGAAGTTTCCTTTTGATATCTAGTATCAGCCCTCCACAAAACCTGCAAGCAGCAAGATAAACTTCAACTCAGGGAGTCACGTAGGCAGCAGCAGTTCATTTAGAGAACACCAAGCTGTGTTGGTCAGTATATATAAATATCTGATGTTCAAAATTTGTACCTTCAACTATTGTTTTCTGTGCCGTCATTGTATGCCCTGCTCTCTCTCTATGTTTCAAGCTTTAACTGATGGTTACAAACTTCTCCAAGTATCATCAGAACAGAGGGAGCTGTGAGTTGGAAATGGTGAGAGGTTGCAGGGCTTTGAGGTGCAGAGGGATCTGGATGTCCTTGTGCAAGAATTGCAAGGGGTAAGTGTGCTGGTAAAGCAAGTAATTAGGAAAGCTGACAGCATGCCATCATTTACTACAAGGGAATTGAATGCAAAAGTAGGGAGGCCATGTTTCAGTTATACAAGACACTGTTGAGTCCACATCTGGAGTACTTAGCATGTTTTAAGTCTTCCACTATAAGGAAGGATATAAACATATTAGAAGCAGGTCAGGGAAGGTTTAGCAGACTAATACCTGGAATGGGTAGGTTGTCTTTGGAGCAAAGTTTGGACAGTTTAGGCTTGTACTGGCTGGAGTTTAGAAGAGTAAGAGGCAACTCACTGAAACATGTCAGATCCTAAGGGGTTTTGAAGGGGTGAATTTAGAGAAGATGTTTAATCTTGTGGGAGAATCTAGACATAAGGGTCACGTTTAAATATAAATGATTGCCCATTTCAGTCTGGGATGAAAAGAATACTTTCTCACAGAAGGCTGTGAGTCTTCAGAACTAATCATCATTAAAAACTGATGGAATCAGAGATAAAACAGAAAGTATTGGAGGAACTCATCAGCTCTGGCAGCACTTGAGGTGAGTAAAATAGAGTTAACACTTTGGGTTTTTTAAGGCAGAAGTGGATAGCTTGGCAAGAGGTAAAAGGTTATCATGGGAGGTAGGTTTGTGTAATAACCAACTCAGCCATGATGTCATCGAGTGGCAGAGCCATCTCAATGGGCCATGCGTCCTACTCTACTCCTCCTAATTTGTATGTTCTTCCATTTCCAAAGGGGAATAGGTAGAAGTATTTTGATGCGGAACATTGTCTTTGCTCATATATTTTACATATATATAAATACATTACATGCTCAAAATTTGGAATTTTGAATGTCTGAGTTTTTTTCTAATTTATAAGTTTCTTGTCAGAGCTGGTAGTAGAACAAAGCTTAAGAATGGGTCAGGAACACTGGGCAGGAATGGGAGGGGCATTGGCTTGGCAGCGCTGGGACATTCACATTCTAGTCCATCACTCCTGATGCAATCCAGCTTCCACTCATTCAATACCATAAGCTGCTGTCATGTTTTCCTATAATTTCTCTTGTGAGGATTTTTAAAAGGACTCAGTAATGGTCACAGTAACTGCTGACAAAATGGCTTGATAATTCATAGCCTCCAAAAGGCTTCTCTTGTCCACAGTGGCCTAACCTATTGGAATCTCCAATAATCCAACATGCTGCCTCCAGTAACTACTCTGCTGTGCTCTCCAATTGAAATGTATACCTTCCTGTCCACATCAACTCTTCCCCAAGTTCATGAGGTGCTGGCATTTCTTCATCATCACTTCCTCCTCCACCTCCTGCTGAACCATTCATCTGCCCGGCCTCATTCAGAGAGTAAACAGATTTCCTGTTGTTGAGATGTGGGAAAGAGAGTTAAAAGCATAGTTTGATTTCTGTTTTAAGATGATCAAATCAGAAGTGGATGGACTGATTCTTTCTTGTCAAAGATGGCCAGAGAATGTATGACAATGGATCATTTATGAGAATTCATCTATTTGTCAGAGACTATTTGAAGATGGAAAGCAAAGATATCTCTATGAAGAAGCCCTACAAATGGGTGGAATTTTTAAAAATCATACCTTTTCTCAGCTGGTGTGACTTTCTTGGGTGGCTCGATCCTGATCTTGGGATCCCATTCACCGGGAGGCAGGACAATGACTTCATCAAGGAATTCATCAATGCCAGCAATCAAGTCATTTCTGTCTCTTGCTTTATAAGCCACATCACTGAAGAGCTGGATCCCAGAACAACAAAAGCGCAATGTAAATGATGGACACAATAATCCAGACACACAGTCAAATACAGATTTAGTCATTTGTATCAATACAAGAAGGACTATCAAGGTATGCTATTGGGAAGGAATATCAAATGCCAAGTTTCTTTTGGTACAACTGTAGTCTTTACTTTTTCTTGGAGAAACTTTGCTCTGACTAAAATTACATCAGAGAAACCCTTCAGTGGTGGGTGTGGAGAAATTTGACCAACTATTAACAAGAAACAAGAAGCTGAGTGCCAGCAGAAAAGAAAGCACAATGATGTACAATTCAGAAAGGCCTTTTACAGTTGAATAAATCTTTTCACTGGGGTCTTTACATTTTTTCAGCTCAGTAGTGAGAATTATGGTTCTGCCATAATAGATAACTGCCAACCATTTTCCTTTATAACTTCAGTGTATGATAGCATGAACTCTACTTTTTCTAACGGGATTAAACGTAATAACTCACATCATCGACCATCAGTGTCGCCATGGCTCTTCCTATTTCGCTATAAGATTTGCCTTTCCCTTGAGGACCCAAAAGAATAAAAATAAACCTGTTCAGGAAAGATATCAAAATATTAAAACTGTGAGTGTTAAAGTACCAATTCTTCTTTCTTCATTCCATATTAAATACATTTTTTTTAAAATTGCAGGAAAGTGGATTCATAATTTCAGTTGCATGCCAGCCGTAATGAATATATATCTAGCCTGACAGCACTTAATGTATCTCCGCAGAGAGCTAATTGTTTTTACAGTGCAGTTGACCTGTGGAGTGGTCTCAGATAGACTTAAAACACCAGCACTGCAGACCAACAATGGTCTGTTGTCAGCTATCCAACAGACCATTATCCTCTCAATGGAACACAAGTGATTACCCCTGTCAGCTGAAATACAGTCAGCATATAATATATATATAACTTCGGCAGACAGAATGGTTCAACTGAATGCTTCAAAACAGAAAGTTAACTTTGTTTCTGAAGTGTTCCTGGACAATAGCACACCCTTTCAATTGTGTTGTTTTTATACTGGACCCAACCACATTGATCTCTGGGTGCACCAGTACCTTGTTGGAACTGCCACTTCTGTCAGCCCACCCAACATCGTTGACTGCAAAAGACGGACAAAAGCTACGAATGGCTTATCCAGAAAGTCGACTTCACCCACAAGGATATTTGAAGCTTCAGAGTCGCGAGGTATTTTCTTTTTGAACTTGTTCTTGAGCTGCAATGAATCACAGGCATATGAGTCGGAAACTGAGGATAGTAGACTTCTACTGAACAGAAAGAGATAAAGGAGAGAAAGAATACTGGGGATCTCAATCGTCAACAATAAACTCAGTGTTTTCACACCTTTGGTTTCACTGACTGACCAACTACTCCCACAGTTTGCCAGTCCCAGTGTTCCAGGAAGGCGGATTATCAAACACATATTTCTGAGTTTCATTAGTATTTTCAGAATGTGTCAGACAGTTGAGGTGCTCAAGTTGTTGTGCAGAATGGTCACTGAAGAACACTTGTTTGAACAGATTTTCACAAAATAGTGGTGAACTGCCCAGTTCTACAAACAAGATGCATGAGACAGCATCCACGCAAACTCAACAGTTTAGGCTAGTTTCCCAAATCTCGTGTGCAGTGACACAAACACAGAGAATGCTGGAGAAAGTCAACACTATCTGTGGTGTTAGAAACAAATTTAAAGTTTCAAATCTGGTATGACTTTGTGTCAGGGGTTCAGAAACTTTCTGTGTTTATTTCAGATTTCCAGCATATTGCTTTTAATTGAGTGTTGCATAGAATGCTTCACATTGCACCATCAGTAATAATGGTCACCATAGTCCCAGATGACTGATCACTCTTGAGAAACAGATGAGTAATGGTGAGTTTAACCTGAGAGTCGCTATGCCTCAGGTGAGGGGTGAGTGGTGAGATTGAGAAGGCAGGACTTCAGCTCATGTGGGAATTGAAATTCTGCTTTTGACATCAGTCTGTATCATGAACCAGACATCTAGCCATTTGACTGACAACACACCCCCAACCCCACCCCCATCCCCACCATGCTGACTGAGACAAGTGAGCCAACCATTAGCAAATGATAGTGATTCTTCTGGCATTTGGTTACAACTACCTACATGACTCAAAAACAAAATTAAAATCCTGAGGAAAAGGCTTAACGATGAAGAGCCAGGGTTTGTTCAAGGACCAAGATTCCTCTTTATAAAATAATTTGCAGTAAAGGGCATTCTATGATTCCTAAATGAGGTTCAACTTTATTTTGCAAAAATAAATTGGGAAATCTTTGCGTTAAGCTCCCTACAGATGTTGGCCAATGCTGAACCCTCAATCGTTCATTAAGCCAACCAATATGTTGAGGTCTCTAAGCTGGGTGTGAGGTCAAGAATGTGAGTGCAGAACTAAGCTTTATCCTCGTGATTTCAATCAGTGGCAACCTGCTACTTCATAATCTTATTAACAATTCAAAATTGTGGCATATTTAATAAAACTGAAGTGAGATGAATCAAACTTGAATGTTATTTTTGACTATACTTCGATAACTTTTTTTCTAAGATACGAGCTTTGAAATTCACAGGAAGAAACGTTTATGGCCAGTGTGAATGTCAGGTAAGTTCAACATGGGTTTATTTAGTAATTTAAAAGAAGTCTTGAGTTGAATTACATTGAGTTATTGAAATTGTCTGTTCTTCCTGCCAGTCAATATCAGTGCTTTCACGTCTATATTTTATAAAATAGCTGTGCTTCTTTTAAAGGAAGCATTCTGTTCTTCTAAAACCTGGGATCATCTGTTTTACAGCAAATCAGACAGCACTAGATTTGATTCTCATATTGTACTGAGTTAACTGCTCATTACTCATCTGTTTCTCAAGAGTGACCAGTCATCTGGGACTATGGTGCCAGGAAACAGAAGAATGAACCATTACTCTCACTGCTGTCCGATGATGTGTGGATGTAGGATTACCTGTGAGCTCTCTGCCTCAGCTCACAAATGAGGAATAATCATCTGAAGCAGCCTTTGAAGCATTCATCTCCCAGCAAAAGTGAGTGTGTTGGAAAAAGTCTTCACCTCAGTGTTTTGTGTTCAATTATTTTTCTTTTATTGTGTACAAATATTGCTGTTATGTTTGTGTTTTTGAACACTGCCTTCAGCCCAAGGAACGTTTGGAGTCCAGTAGCAGGACTCCACTTACTGTCAGGTTCCCTGATGTTCAAGCAGACAGAGTGAGGTTAGTGCATTTAAGGTTCAAAAAAGAAATTAACCAAATAAGGCGTTCACCATATCAATTATTCAAGACTAACTTCTGTGGTATACTCTGTGTAGATTGGAGGAGAATATGACCTGATTTGAAAGTTTACAAGTTTAATATTAAAACTGAGTCTTTCGAAACTAACCTGTCCAGTCTGAACTTTCACATATGACATACTCCAAGTGACCACTCCTGCCATCTAAGAGATGGTACAGAGGTATCAGCTTTCTTGAGAGAAGCTCTTGGTTCATTATTGACCGCACAACATGTTCCCTCCCATATAATGAACAACAATAGGAATGGCTTTTTAAAATTCCTTAAGTCATTCTCTACATTCGTGGGAATTACTCCAATATCATATTCATAAGGACCTGAGAACAATGTTGGGCTAGTTTGATCTGTAAAATGGGTCAGAGTGAAACTTTCCACTTTTTGTCCTCTAGTTAACCTGGATTTCTAATGTGTTTTGTTGCCTCTCTCATGCGGCCAAAATAACTGGAATAAACCATTCAGCTGCTTGAGCATGTTCGGCCCTTTAGTTATATCCTGGCTGATCTGTATTAGGAGATTACATTCTTCAGGCATCCATGTAAATTGTAAGGTTCAAGACATTACAAGTACATAGGATAGACTGAATGGGAACAGAAGCCGGTTATTGACCAGTTTAAAATAAAATCTAGGTATTGACAATCATTACAACACAAGTCCACACAAAAATAAAATCTAAATATGAATCTACTGCAGTACAGTCCATGACCTACAAGACACAAGTCAGGAGTGTGATGGAATACTCCCCACTTGGCTGGATGGGTGCAGCTCCAACGATATTCAAGAAACTAGACATCATCCAGGACAAAACAGCCCACTTGACTGGTACACTATCCTTTTCAACTGGAAACTGAGAGGGAGTGGTAATGTCGGTGGATCAGTAATCCAAAATTCTATCTTAAAGCCATAAGGAGGGGGATTCAAATCCAACCAGGGCACCCAGTGGAATTTGAATTCAGTTCATAAAATCTAGAATTCAAAGTTAGTCTCAGTTATAGTGACCATGAGAACATCGATTGTCATAAAAATCCATCTTGTTCACTTATCCAATCACACTTACAATGGAATGTAGTTGACTCTTTGGAATGTAATTGACTCTTAACCATTTTCTGAAATTGTCTGGAAAGCCCCACAGTTTGACAGTAATTAGGAATTGGCAACAATACCCTTCAGCAACACTCATATCCCATTCAACAGAATAAAGAAACAAAATAATTCACCACCTTCAACATTCACTCCAACCACCACCAAAATCACAATGACAACACAGTGTCCTATTTACAAGCTGCAACTGGCTAAGGCTCCTTTGACAGCACCTTCAAAACCAGTGACTTCTCCCAGCTTGGAGGAGCAGATGGGAACACCATGGATCACACCCTGACTTGGTACTAGACTGCTATTCCTCAGTGTCGCTAGATCAACCTCCTGGAACTCCCTCCCTAAGAGCACTGTGGGTCTGTCTATATTCCAAGAACTGCTGTGGTTTCAAGAAAGCAGCTCACTACCACCTTCCCAAGAGCAATTACAGATAGGCAATAAATTCTGGCCTCAGCAGCAATGCCCCAGTCCTGTGAAAGAATTGAAAAAAAAATCTGAGTGAATGATCAAACCAGCAGAGATTGCTGTGAGCATTTTATGGGACTTCTGTTGTTGATGCATCATTTTCACTGCTGAATTACTCAGAAGTCTTGAGGGCCCAATCCAGAAAACACACTGCACATGAATTCCTCAGACGTCGGGAGATGTGGAAACCTCATTGATGGTATAATTTGTTGCTTGTTTAACAAGTAAACCACTACATCAACATTGCAAATTCCATTACCACATGCTGTGTTCATGATCCATTTATCCAGTTGCTAACCAATAGCAGTAGGACAGAAAGGGCATTGCTGTCATTAATTTGAAGGTCACACACACTGACTTCACGCAGGGCTCATGAAATACTTTTCAAGAGAAGCAATTCAAGTTAATTTTTCTGTGGTTCTCTTCATAATAAGGGGACCTGAGGCCACCTATGGTTGTTCTGGCTGTACCTTGGCAAATACAGCAGCCTGAAATCTTTGCCCCCAGGAGAGTGGATGGCCTCACTAATACATATCTTCTGTTAGGAAAAATGAGCTAACATAATGATAGAAGTGTTACTGGTTTAACTCCAAATTTGTGATCTGTATTAGGAGATTACATGACTTCAGGTGTCCATGAAAATTGTGAGGTTCATGGAATAAATTCATGATGATGACTTATATCCATTGTCCTTCAGTTGAGACTTACCTGATCTGTGCTGGGAGTATCTGCAATGTCATTCATGCTTCTGCTTTGAGCACGACCTGCAGTGTGGAAAAAGAATACAAAATCCGGTCATGTGATTTGGAATGCATGTGGTTGTCTCTTAACAGAAATAGAAAGGGTTGAGAAGATAGTGAAAGGAATGAGTCGGCAATTCAGAACTGAAGGAAATCCTTCAATTTCTTGGCGAGTACTTTGTCTGGGCATTAGCCAAGGAAAGGTTGCATGCACGTAGGCTACATGCAGCGCCTTCATCTTAGTTAGCTGGTCACTGGTTAACTTCCATAGGTGACTTACGTAGCCATCCATAACTGGCAGCCTGCCTCAGTCCCAAGTCTTCAGTAGAGCGGTAAAAGTTTGTCCCAATACCAGGGATTCGGTTGGGACTGCGAGCTGTAGGTAATGTGGTAATTCGAACAGTTAGTAAGGAAAGAAACAAAAGATATAAAATTAGGAAGGGAATAATTGCATGAAAGAATCATGGCAACAAAACCAGATTGTCTCCTCATTAGTTCTTATAGAACATTGGGATATATTTCACCCTTAAGCTGTCAGTGCCAGCATCCTAAAAATACAGAATGCATAATAAGCTGCTGCCTTAACCTTTGGCCACATACAAGACAGTCTCCATTTTGTGCACCGGCCTCACTTTTTTATTTCAGCCAAGCTGCGGATTCTCCAAGGCTAGAAAACTCATACCAGCTGAGATTGAAAATCGAGTCCTTCTCAAACTCCCATCTGGCAGATAGTATTCACATAAAAGGAACTCTCACCTGTCATTGCCATTCATGTATGTTGCTGCATCATATGGAGCACTGATGTGATATAACAACAACGACTTGCTTTGATGCTGTACCTTTTCACATAACAACATGTGCAAGCTTTTTCCAAGGTGTTTCCTTCAAATTTTACATTGCATAAGGAAATATAAGGCAAGTGACCAGAAGTTTGGTCAAAGCAATAGGTTTTTTCAAGAAAAGAGAGGGAGGTAGAGACATGGAAGTGTTTATTTCAGAGCTTCAGGCCTAGGCAGTTGAAGACATCTCCACCAGTGGTGGAGCAAAGAAAATTGGGGATGTGCAAGATGGCAGAATAAGAGAGGTGTGGAAATCATACATTTGTGAAATGTAACATCGTCTTTATAGGATGTCAAACCACACATTTGTAAATGACGGTGTGTGTTTGAGCTACTCCTTTCTGAGCTACGCACATTATCCCACATGTCAAAATGAAAGTTAGAAAGCAACAAGTTTCACCACTATTCCTGTTCTCAAGTAGGCTGCTTTTAAATAAGGGAGATTGAGGCCAAGATTATCATACCTCAAGTGTCTTTTCCCAGTAATCCCTCCCAATGCCATCCTTCTGCCCAGTGCTTCCCAATGACTGTTCAGACAAATGTTAGGAAATCAGGAGCAGAGGCAAATGCATTCTGTTCCCTGGCATAGTTTAGTAGAGTTTCATAATGTTCTACTGCCCTGTTAGTCAGAATTCTTTGTACTTTCCATGTGTCAGAGCGACGATATTTATGGAAACAGCATAAAGTTGCTCACCAGATTGACCAACCCTTATTCAGTATGAACACATGACAAATAGCCAGTTTGTATCTGTACCCTTTCCAGGTCAAACCCACTTTATGTGCTGATATCAGTAGAGTAGGGACTGGAAATCTGAAGCTCTTTCCCAAGCAGTTGCAGATGCTGAGTCAATCGAAATATTCAAGACTGAGTTAATTAGGTTTCTCTCAAAGCAGGGTATCAAGCATAAAGGCTCATAAATGCAGTTGAGGCACAGATTATCCATGACTTAAATTAACAGGGCAACAGGATTGAGGGGTTGACCGGTCTAGTCCTATTCCTGTTGGTGCAGCCCCTTCTCCTTAAGTTTACTGTATTTTGGTCAAGCATTGAACTGACAATGAGAAACATCTTCAGTCCAGTGTATTCAGAAATGATCTTAAATTACAGTGAGTATAAGTTAGTCACAGAAAGTCTTAGAATATTCAGAAATTGACTAACATTAAAACTGCATACAAGAAAGGTGTTAGGTAACATTGCCTGTAAAAATAATTCATAAAAAACACAATCTGAATCGCAGAATCCCTACAGTGCAGAATGATACCATTTGGTCCATCAGGTTCCCACTGAAGCTCTGAAGAGCATCCCACCCAGACCCAGCCCTTCCCTATAACCCCACATTCACCATGGCTAACCCACCCAGCCTGCACATCCCTAGATGCTACAGAGCAATTTAACAATGGCCAATCTACCCAAACTGCACATTTAATGCAAATTGCTAAAATTAGGGCATCGGTTTTCAGCGAGGCAACGTGGTAACAAATTAGAAGGAAGTGAGCTGATGTTGAAACCTGAATTAATGCAGATTGTTTCGGTAAACAGTAATTTTCTCCAGCAACAGTCAGAATGATGCTCATAAGCGTGACAGTGTTGCCAAGTGGGAATTACCCCAAATGTAAATATTATTCATCACAGAGAAATAAAAAGACAGAAAAAATCCATCCGAATTATTTGTTTCTTATTCAGGAGCTGCCATTAATGATTTCATGCAGTTGTCTGGGCAGTTCGCCTTACCTGACGATGCTGTTGATGATTTCCCAATGTCAACCAGAGAGCGATGGATGGGTTTCTTGGTTTGGTGACGATGTTTTCTCAGGAGGATGTATGATATCTGTTCTCGGACCTCTGCTTTAATAAGTCCATCTTCTATTTGCTTGTCAATGATATCATCTGTAATCATAAACAGATTAGTCATTTTGTCACAGTGGCTGGGCGTTAATGGGCTTATTGGTTTTTTCTCTTACCCTTCCTGTAAAAAGAAAACAGTAACTTTTCAAGTTTTCTATGACCCCTCTATTCACAGGTGGGGAACAATGTGTGCAAAGTTACATCCTTCTACCCCTCCGTAACTTTTCATTTTCCTATAAGCTCAGAAGATAGATATAGTTCTAGGTGTTTCAGTCCACGTGATATTTTCACCCCACAATGCTAAACCTGCCATTATGAAGTGCACTGGTCCTAACAAGCCTTCCTGGCAACATGCCTCAACTGTTAGTATGTTCCTGGCATCAGTCCTAATTTTGAGTCTCAAAGCCTCCCACTTCTTATCCTGTGGTATCTGAAAGTAATGTGTTGAGCTTAGTTTCTCTATCCTGTTCATTATTTCTGAAACTGTTAGAAGAAACCATCTGCAGCATCTGTTTGAATGCAGAAGAGCTCCAGCTTACCCAAATCTTCTCAGAATGCCAATTAGGCAGCCTCTGTGTATGACGAATGTTATTTTTAATATAATTAACAGTCATGTTGGTTTTGGAGTGTTGATCAGCGAGAGAAGCTCGAAGGCTTTCTGCATTATTGTCATTCAATTGGAAACTGTTTCACACACATTATGCTCCAGGTCATGTGCACTGACTTACTTGGTTTGAACTATTTTTAACCACTTCACAGCAGACGACAAGAAAACAGTGTTTTACCTATGATCTGTGGCAATGAGTATCCATCCAAATCTAACAGTACAGTCTCTGTCTGGAGACATGTCCGCAGCTCAAACAGACTGTGCAGAGATAACGTAGACACATGGGGCTTACTCCATCTCTCGCCTCCTTCCTCTACTTTCTCTTCAAATTTTACCCATCTTGAAAGGGAGAGTGAAAAAGATTTAGCACATGCATTTCAAACAGGTTTTTTTAAAATGCATATTTAAAAATAGGAATTCAGTTCCTGTCCTCAACATTATGTACATTAGAGGTATGGTAAGCAGATCCAGCATTGATCTATTTAATCACCTCAGGACCCGCAGTTCTGGAGGGAAAGAAACTCATTCTCAATCTTAAGAAGAGCGACCTAAACCCTAGCATAACTGCAACAACAAAGTTTACATGAAAGCTAAGAGCTGCCAATGCTGGAAATGGGAATGCAATTGAGAGTATGCCGGAAATAGTCAGCAGGCTAACTCAACTCCTTACTCATGCACAGCGGGCATCCCAGAGCATTAGGCTACATTTGTTGGGCTCTAATGTACCCCAGTAGTAGGGCAATGGTAAAGTACTGGGAACAACACAAGCAAGAACAAGCCTCCAAACCATTGGATCAACCCACTGGTTCAACTGAGCAAGTAGCATTGATAATATGGGCACACGAAGTGCTAGAAATACCCCACGTCATGTCAGTGAACTTTTCCGATCAATGACGCTTCATCAGAGTTTCGATGAAGTTAACCATTTGGCTGTTTAGGTCCATATTCTTCCAAAGACTTTGTGCAGGCATTCTTCACTTAACTTCCATGGAATTTCTTGTAACTTATACAAATACGAAAAGGAAGACTTGCGGCAGTGAAAGATATCTCAACTGGTTCCAGTGAAAATGGCCACACATACAATGCTGGCAGCACTGAGATCAGAAATTATACCACCAATATACTGAATCAGAGAGAAGAACAGAGGTGCTGGAGAAACTCAGCAGGTATGTTTCTATCTCGGAGTTTTGGCATCTGTAGTATTGTGCTTTTGCTGAATCAGAGGATGGCATCTGGCTGAAAAGGGACATCTACTGCCCATCTTGCTCAAGACGTGTTGGCAGCAGGAATATGATCACATGGAATTGAACAAACACTACTGGAGTGTTTAAGAAGCACAGACACTGCCTGAACAACTCTGGAGATCCAATCCTCCTGGAATCACCACTCTCCCATCATTCTTTTCAAATGCATCTTTCTACTCTACTCTCTACTCTAGGTGACTACATCAGGTCCATCCAGAACAGTTTACCAATTGTCTACCAAAGCTCCAGGCAAAACTCAAAATCAAGCTTGAAGAAACCACATTTTAATTATAACACAGTTTCTGGTTTCCTTGGTGCAGACTGATCATCTTGTAGCTTTTGAAAATTCATGGGTATGAGAGCAAATTATAATTAGGTTGGGCATAAAGGCTCCTTTCAGAAGAGCAAATCTGTTAATCCTAAGGTCTACATTATGATTTCACTCATGTTGTAGATTCCAGGTATTTATTGACTTCAAAGAGTTGTGTTTGGAAAGTGTATTTCAATAAACAAATCATGGAGTTTCCTATATTGCAATTTAGTCTCAGTTTAGTTTGCAGACAAGCCTGGAGTACTACAATGTTTGGGTTCAAAACAGCAGGCAATACTGTCAAAAGATGCTGCAGTGAATGTTGAAACAACAGTCATGACATAGTGCATCATCGTATTGCAAGTGTGAGAACAGTGTTGGTTACTCATCCGTACTGGAGGGGATTGTCTCCAAGTCACCACGAAAGCTCTATGCCTGGTTATTGCCAGACTCCATCCATGCTTCTTGAGATTGATTGCTTTTTGGCAGACTTCCCACTGCCTCAGGCCATTCATTGTGCCTCTGTAAGCTGCTTCAGTCACGTCCTTATCAATGTCCTGTGCAGAGGGACTTGTGTGTGAGCCTACCCTTCGGCGAGCTGGCACTAGTGCTATTCTTGCCTCCTGCCCTGGCTGCTGCCCACTTGTGCTCAGTGTCTCACTATGAGCAGACCCCACCTCGACTCTAGCCTTTCAGTATCTGAGCTGGAGGCTGCAACTGTCAAACAAGCGATGGGTTTTTCTTATGTTCCTCCACTACCTGATCAGTTTGCATCTCTTGGGCATCTGAAACGAAACGACACAAGGATAAGGTTGAGGTGTAGGATGGTGTGGGGAGGAAGAGGTCTGAGTGTACAGCAGACATTGTATTGTGGGTGCTAAGTGGAGCGTACATATCAGAACTAGGTTCGAAGAGACTGTAATCTTTGACAGTTTCATTCTGGCTGCTGACCAGAGTCTCAACACCGGCCACTGTAAAATGCGCAACACCATCTCCTCAATGGAGTTTAGAATATGCCGGCATACTTCTCCCGTCCAGTTAGTTCTAATTGCCCACCACCATTTCCTGCAAGAAAGGGCCACGTGTCTCAGTGAGTGTTTTACAATGCGGTTTCGCTGATGTAGCTGTCATGTTTGGATAGCAGGAAGTGTGCACAAGCTGTGCGATGTGAGTTGTAAAGCATGCAGTAATACTAAGTGAGTGAAGGTGAGGTGAAACTACAAAGGTGAGTTATGAGTGCTGACTGGTGGATATTGTTTGTCAGTGTATAATGGCAGTGCGATGAATTGAGTGGAACTTGTGTCTGGTGGTGTTATGGTCATATATGCTCTACCTGAAGACAGATTCTTGGGTCATTTTCTGCTGGTGGTTCCTCCTAAACTGTTCTCTTGGCTGTTTTTGTTGATGGTGATTTGTTACTGCCTTTCATTCTCAGAGGCAGGAGTCAAGTCTACATCAGTTGAAACAAACATCTAACCCACGCTGCTGGTGTTATTCTGAACCACAGTTTTGCAGCCAACTGAAATTCCCACCCCACTCCAATCAGTGCAGTTTGTAGGCTGTGGAATTTGAAGATGTATCTTCCCCCACTTGGATGAGATCGCTGAACTTCATGCAGCGAAGTATCCTAGTCCCCAATTGAGTTTAGAAGTTATTGGCTCTCTCAGGAAGACCAATTTGCTTCATGTCAATGGGTAACATCTCTCCTCCTTTCCAGATCCACCTCTGGGGCTTTGAGTGCAGTGTCTGAAAACCTCAAAGCATGCACTCTTCAATGTTGTGCCATTCTTCACTGTTTTCTGCATTGAACTGACTTTATGTACAATTGACAGCAGCTGCTTGAGCCTCAGTGAAACTCCCTTTAAAGAGATACAGGCAAGTTTTGAACAGTGCAAGCCAGCTTTAAGTGGAGTGAGGAAGTTACGATTTTGAGCCCCCTGCTGATTTATCCAGCCAATGAACAGGCCGGTTAGCAATAGCTGCACACAGCAATCATTCAAATGAGCAGGCAGTGTGAAGTTGGCATGCTGCCTGCATGACAATGAATGGGCACAGGCTAATCGTACATTGCAACCCCCTTGCCTGCTTTCAGCAAGCTCTCCAATTTGGCATTTCTCCTCTGCCTCCTCCCCCCTAAACCCCCCCAATCAGGTGCTGTTTCTTCCTTTGTAAAGATAGATTGGATCTTCATTACCATGGCAATGATTTACACAAGGAAGCTAAACAGCTACTGACGTTTCGAATTTGTGTGCTGAATGTTGGTTTCAATAGTCTGAGCAACTGTCATGCCACTCTTGAGTTACATTCCCAGCAAAAATAACTGAGAGGGATTGCCTGATGAGAAAGCAGACAGCTTTTCATTTTCTTTAGTTCTACTGCACAGTCTTAGCTGACTTCCGGACAATTTAGAGAACTGGTTCTGATCATAGACTTGTGTGATATTGATCTTTTGTGTTTCTTATTTTGTATGGTTCCTATATACTTCAAACACAGTGATAGCAACCCAGCAAATCACTGCTTGCCTGTTTGCACAGCAACTGCATCTTCATAATGGCCGCTGATTAAAATTACAAAGTCGTAGAATGACATAAGAGAAGTTAATTCAATAGAAGTAAAACTCATTGGACTTTCATTGCTCACCTGGCAGATTCCTTCCATTCTAACTCAACTCCATCATACTGCAGAGTATCCATCTCTGTGAAAAGTGTTGGAGTTGGGCCATCATCGTCTTCTCCCAGAATGTATCTCAGCCTCTCGGCAGCAGGGGACACTGCATACAAGAGAGGTGCAGCAAAACACATTAGAGTAAGGTCCTGTCTGACCGAAGCTGTCAAGTATTTATGGGGAGCAGGGTGTTCCAGCAAGAAACCACTATCTAGATGTATCTTTGAACATGAAGTTGCTGTTGGCTCTTTTATTGGCCTCTGGTCACTGAACTCTTTCTTATTCTAGTCAAGTGGGGATCAAATATTCAATGAGGAAAACACAAACATAGGAAATAGGAGCAGAAGTAGGTCATTCAGCTGCTCGAGGCTGTTCAACCATGCTGATATCTATCTCAATGCCGTTTTATCACACTATCCCTTGACATCTTTAGCATCAGGAAATGCCTGGGGCCTTCCATCCACTCCAAAAACAGGGAAGCTCTCTTTAGAATAGAATGGTTAAGCATAAAATGGGACCATTCAGCCCACTGTGTCTGTGCTGGCTCTCTGAAAAAGCAACATAGCTTGTCATATGACTTCATCTCTGCATAACAGTATTTATGTTCTATCTTCAGGTTCTTGTCGAATTTTTTTTCAACACTCTGGAACCATCCAATGCTCTAAGTAGTTGCTGCATTTACGTACTTTCTCATGGAGGTGTTCTTTATGCGCCACTGAAAACGTAGATTGAAAGTGTTACTGTCAGGATCATTCATTGAAAACAGATATCCCTAAACACCAATGTCATAAAGAGTAAACAGAACAGTGGACATAACCACTGTAGATCACAGTGAAATTTGACATTCTACCTGTTTACAGGTAACAAACACTTTTAATGCCTATGCTGCCGTAACTGTTACTCTGAGTTGTAAATTAATGTTTCACTGTACACTGTCAATTGCAATTTTGCAACCACTTTGTCTCTGTCAGGCTGACACCAAGAAAAGGTCAAGCCTGAGCAAGCAGAGCAATAAAGTGACAATAGCATTGTATGAAAGAGAAGCCACATCTTCACAGGCTGTTTTTTCTGGAATTAAAACCAGTCCAGCACAACATCCTGCACTGACTCTGTGCCTCTGAGGATGCTGTCCTCTGAGGCAGGAGTGAACCAAGTTTCTAACCTGTAAACTGGTCCACAGTTCAAAGTTGCTTCTCAGTGCCACCTGAAGGATAACCTCCATCAAATACCCAAAATTACCTTTGTCCTTTCTTAGTTTTCTGGTGTTGTGATACCAATACTTTCTTCCTTTCGCATATTCTGAGAAACCAGGATGTCTCTACATGTACATGAGCAGTATTTGTTCTCCTCACTGCGTTTCTAAATCATTTTTGACACTGCAGTCACCTGTAAGGGGTAAAACTACTCAATCTGAACAATCCAAGTCCATTACTTGGCATTCTGATTTACTGACAAGAATGACCAAGTAGGGGCTTGCTACCAATCTTTCAGAATATGAACATATGAATTAAAAGCAGGGTTAGGCCATTTGGTCCCTTGATCCTGTTCTGCTGTTTGATGAGTTCGTGTCTGATCTGATTGCGGCAGATTCTATAAGGCATTAACTTTTCCAACAAGCTTAATCACACTTTGAATTCCATAACTTAATGATGAGACAGATGAATAGAAATAAAAGGAAACCAATACTGCACCGCGGATTGCACTATTTCATGAGGTGTCCTGCATCATGCGCCAACGATCTACAGATTGATTTGTGCTCAGTCACATGAAGACCCCTGGCAGAAACCCACCACCACCCTGAGTCAATGCCATCCTCAAATCAAGAGACAACCATTGACATTGATTCTACCATTTGTATTGTTTAGGGCATATGCCATTTTCAAAGGCAACCTTTCCTTTATGGAAATTGGCTGGTTATTTCACCTGAATCATTCACCATTACAGACATCAAAGAATCCCTACAGTGTAGAAACAGGCCATTCATCCCAGCAAGTCCACACTGACCCTCTGAAGAGCATCCCACTCAGACCCATCCCACTCAGACCCATTTCCCACGGTTAATGCACCTAATCTACACATCTCTGAACGCTATGGGCAATTTAGGATAGCCAATCCATCTAACTTGCACGTCTTTGGACTGTGGGAGGAAACAAGAGCACCCAGCAGAAACCCACGCAGACATGGGGAGAATGTGTAAGCTCCACACAGACAGGTGCGCTAGGGTGGAATTGAACCCGGGTTCCTGGTGTTGTGAGGCAGCAGCGCTAACCACTGCACCACCGTGCCACCACGTGTTTTGTGTGATGTTAATTTGAAATGAGGTACATTTTCACCCTCATCCAAATTAGGAATGAAACTGGTGAATAACAATTGTCCCAGAAGTGGTACCATGTTATGATCAAGCTTCATTCAAATCGACCTCCTTGACATAGCCCTTTGTTCATATGAATTCTTATCGAGCCAGATATGTGTCCTACAATCCTCTAAATTCTAATTTTTGGTAAGCTTTATGAAAGGTCAATTTTTGGAACTCAAGGTAAGTGACATCGACAAGAATGCCAAAATCCACAATTTCGAATGTTTCCTTAAATAATTCAATTCAGTCAGTGAGGTGGGACTTATGCTCCTTGAAGTAATGCAGCGAAGCATAAACAACTGTCCAACTTTTCAAGTGATCAGAAATCACACGTCATGCTTACCCAGTGTCAGACTGATAATTGCCAGGGTCTGATTTCTTCCCCTTCTTAAATTACAGAACCGCATGAACCTTCTTCCAATCTGATGGGAGCTAACCCATATTTTGACAAGTTCTTGGTTACATGAGTCAGTGGTTTCGATATTCCTGCAGCACTCTGTTTTTGGATCAGGTTCATTTTATCCCAATCTCAATCTTCAGTTTCTGAGGTTACCCCAATTAAAGTCACTTTAGCTCTCAACTTCATCTGTACTAGAGCTATACCGTCACCTTTAGAAGTGAAAACTGATGTAAAGCACCTGGTTCACTCAGTACTCATTTATCTGGCCTCATACCTAAGTTGACCTAATAAATCCCTCAAAGAAACAATGCTGCCTTTGATCGATTCCTGACTTTGACAGAACTGGAAAATAGTTCACCATACAATAGTTCTCCACTATAATTTGTAACATTGCTAATCCTGGCCTTCATTGTCCTGAATTGCTTTTTGTACTTCTCTCTGCTTTCTTAGCACCTGCTGGGGAACCTATTTCCACTCCACTTAGGTTCAAAGGCACCATTTAACTCCATTGCTTCAGTTTTCTCTTAGTTTACCAGCATGTGCGTGCTTCTACTCATAGAAGTTAATCCTATTAAATAGAGTTTTATTTCCATTAACCATCCTTTTGCTACTCAGCATGAATCAAATAAAGCTTTGGCTTTGTCCCTGAAAATAAATGTCTCGGACATTTGCATTGCTGTCATGTCTTCATTCTCATGATTTACCTATCATTTCCAAGACTGCTGGTTCTTCTGAACTGCAAGTGAAACTTTCTGACTAAAAAGCAATTGTAACTAATTCTTCCGGGCAGGAATTCCAGTTCCTATGGTTACAAGCCAATCCTACGATGTTGTCTTCTCGTAAAACGCTCTTAAAGTGGTGATGGAAGGCAAGTTGAATTCTGGCTGTTGCACAAGTTTGAATTCTTCGACTGGTTTGCAAATTAACTATCTGCAAACTCTCATGTGATTTCCATTCCTTTCCAATGTAACCTCTCAGTGACTTTCTGACAGTAATGCAACAACTGATCGAAGACAATTATCAACACTTTGTACCCACCTTCAGTAAAAACCTTGGGACGAGGGTGTTAAATCGGTCAGCTATCTGCAGCCCCTCGAAGTACAATTCAGCCGTACTTTGTTTCTGATGAGCTGAAGCTTCATTCAGCCTTAATCATTTTCTGCTGACCTTCTCTCCTCCCCCTCAGTGACTCATTGTGAGGTGCACCTCCACAGACACTGGCAGCCTTATGCTTCCTTTGTTGAAGTGCCAATCATGATGTGACAATGTGTGTCAGGAGACTTCAACCATTGGAAGGCATCACAGCTGAACTTGAACTTGATACGTGCACACACACACACACAGTCACATGTACACACAGACATACTCACAATTGCATAATAGCAATCATCGTGCATTGATTGACCTGTACTATGGTCCATGGTGATTTGAGGTCCTGTCTTGATTGCTGGCCTACATACATTCATCGAATGATTACTGTAATCTGCCTTTGTATCCACAGCCAGGAAATTGCGCTGGGGGCAGTTACTTTCCCGCTTTACATGGCATAAGAGAAGCAGAGTCACAGTAACCCGCTCTTGTGCTGCTTCTTCCATCTGATTGGAAGGTTTCATGGTTAGTTTGTATGTTGGCTTCTTGCTGTCTTCGCTAAGCAAAAAATGGGGGTATCCACCAAATTATTCCAGTGCAAAAAATCACGGCCTTTGTTTGAAAGTAGCAAGGCTATCAAATTCTAGAAGACTTAAAAAGTAATGTTTGTCCACTTAAATCTCAATTGCATCCAAATTCATGGAGAGAAAACAGCATCAGTGTCGACAAACTGGCACACACCCCCCTCTATAAAGATGCAAAGTAGAAACCACTCTTTGTGTATTTGTAAAGCCAACTATTGTGAAGTAGATTTTGAGAAAACAAGAGCAAAGACCAATACTTTTGTCATGACCCAGTTATATTCCGTCCTTGAATGAAGCAATGTTACTGTAGTCTACAAAGTGTTAAAAGTGAAACAAAATGAATTGCATCAGTTCTCTCGTGGCTACAAGACAAACACGCCAATCCTGGCCTCAAAAAAAGCAACTGACAAATCAACAACAAAAACCATGGTTTCGACCCTACCTGGTTCACTCTCACTCATTTTGTCACACACATTAAAAGCAGGCCTGTCTGTGCTCGGGGTAACTTGCTGCAGCCTTACAGAGTGTGTCAAAGCCTGTTACACAGAGCTGCTTGCCCTGGAGATTAAATGGAATAGCACGCCCTTTGCTGAGTTGAGTCCTATTGATGATTATGCCAAACCCAGTAGAGCTTACCCATTTCAATTCTGAGAAAGCGTTGACCTTAACTATTC